TTCTAAAGATGCTGGAGTAGATTGATGTTTTATCTTAAAGCAGCTGCCTGTGAAGCACTTGTCAAAGTAATCCCAAAAGTACAATATTTGTGTTAGTTCCTGCTGCTGCATGTAACGTAAGCTTTAGGCAGGTCACTTCTAAGTTATCAGTAGGGTGTCAGTGACAGGGACCCACAACAGATTTACCACTCACGCCTGTTCTGATGTGGTTGTAGTACAGATGCTTATCTGACTCTACTAGTTTTGAAGCCAGCAATCTGTTTTTCCCCTTACTGAACTGCTCCAAAGGGGAGAGATCCTGTTCAAATTGAGTTGCAAGCTATAGACAGAGGCAAGAGAAACCATTGCTATTCCTTTACACTCACTGAAACTTGTCTCCTGTCCTAAACTATAGACAAGTAGAACCATGGTCTCTGCCAACCAATTGCAGCTGTGTTATGCACAAAAATACAAGAGCAGAGTTGAGGCTTTTATGGCTTCCTTTAAGACTTAAGCAAAGTTAGGACACGTTTTACTAGTAATTCCTGACCTTAAACTCTCCAGTGTTGCTCAAGGGAGCAGCATGGTCCTCAGATGCTACTTTCTGTGGTAGCCAGGTGGAGTGGTGATACTGACCCTCAGGTTGCTAGTCAAAGCATACTCACTTGGTTTGATGTTTAATGTTCTGGCACTTACTTGTGTGTTAGATTTATGCAGATTGTCTTGGCACCACAGGCTCCTCGGGTAACTGAAACTCTCTCTGAATGTAGATCTCAAGCTGCTCTTGAGGGGAAAAGAAATAGCATGGTTGAAGATGTGCTTCTATTTCCTTTGGGTTTATGTTTTCATCAGGGACTTTATCAGCTTCTGTGATTTGTGCAGGGGGCTGAACTAAGATCAGACAAGTGCAAAGCTAGAATAAAACCCTCCTCTACCCGTAGGACAAGCATAGATTAGTCTGGCCACATTACCCAACACTTAATCCAAGTGACCCAGATCTCTCTCTTGTTTATTTGTACCATCCCAGACAGCCAGCTGCACTTATTCTTTTCTCAGGCTTCTTGCCCTGGTCTCAGAAAATCTTGATGTTGCTGCTGCTTCTCATTCTACTAATTACATTTCAGAGTCACTCTTGCCTCCTTCCTGAACCTGTTTTCATGTCTTCAAATGTCTCTATTTAATCAATCTGGCCTCTTCAATCTTCTTCAATCTGGCCTCTAGTGGTGCCTTCCTTATAAAACAGTCTTTTATGCCTGATTTTTTTCATTGCTGTATTCCTTTTCCATCTTCAAAGGCTCCTCTGATACTTCATGTCAGTCTTCTGCCAAAACTCAGTCTCAGCTGTCATGCCTCCACAGTGCCTTGGTCTTAGGTTGACCTATCCATGATGGAAGTCACTGAAGGCTGTCTGAAATAAGACTCAGTCCTTATCAGGATAAGGGTGCATGCAATTGGTGAGAAAGTCTTGCTCAGTCCTTTTTTCAGGTTAGCTGAAATACAAGTAGGATCCAGGGAATACAGATGCTAAAAAGTCTTATTCAAGGGCAACACAAAGCTTCCTAAGATTCAGGACATGGTAAATGCTGTTAATGTTTTCTTGGGAGCAAGTCTACTCCCTGCCAAGCTCATGAAACTAGTTGGAAGCAGTAAAATCCTGGAGACTTTCCTCAGTGGGGGCAAACTAATTGCCTGGAATGGTAACATAGAATTGATTTTGATTGGGTCTTCACAAGTCCTGCAGCTGTATCAGACAGGCATATAAAACTGGGGAGTTTCAAGATGTTGGAAACTGCTACTATTTCCTCTCTGCAGAATGCTTAAAAAGAATCACATGAATTTATAGCATTTATCTCAGAATAATTCCAATCCTCATCGATTTTGAAAAATCACAATATTGCTGATAGCTTTTCATGGTAAAATGTGTGTAGAATTAATTCATATTTCATGGTGTTGCTGAAATATTTTTGACTCATTATCTACAGCAACAGTATTACTGTTAATTACAGGTAAGAATACTAAGGGATTTCAATCAGGTCTATTTAGTAATAAACTACACGTTATCCGCCTTTGAATGATGTCCCCAGAGAATGCCAAAATGTTAAGGGAACTGGAACTACACATAATTGCTATTATTGTGCGGCACGTGTGTACTGGAGGAAAAAAGAATAAAAACTAACATTTCTGTTCTTTACAAGGCTTGCACTTTCACTTGTTTCTCCAGCAGACTCCCAAGTAATATAATGATAGTTAGGTTAGTTTTCTACTGTGATACATGAATTTACTTTGAGAGACTCTAGTAGTGCGCTGTTTTAATCTGATTTAATGCTCATCCACCAGTAGCAACAATGATGAATTACTACTTACGTAGTGAACTGTACTAGGTGCAAAGTTCCTTTATGCATGTTTATATTGCAATAACAGCCCAGTGTACAGAAACCCTTACTGGGAGCTGCAGAGTCTAATATCACTTTAAAATAGGCCTTTTATTAGCAGTAGATAATGAGACTGGAAAAGATTTAAGACTACAGGCACCTAATTCATGAGAAGATAACCTTCCAGATACTGTGTTTTGAAAAAATATTATGGTATTAAAAAGCTGACCTTTTTAGCATGAATGGAAATGAGTCAGAGTTGTGTTATGTTCTTGAGCTCTTGTTGTGGCTTTCAAAAGTAACACTGAGCATGTTTGCAAATTTAGAACAGCCTTCCCCCTGAGAGTACTCCTTTAGATCAGTGTTTTTCCTTTAGGAATTAAGCTGTGACCTTGACCTAGGGAATTGTTTTTAGTACACTTATTTCTGAATGGATATTGCACAATCTACCTGCTGATAATGACTAAGCAGGCAGTTGGATAGAGAAGAACAAAAACACTACCAAGAACACAGGGAAGATACAAAAAATATTTTCACCCTGGATTTATGAGTTCAGCCTTGTTCCCCCTGAAGCAACAGTAATGCTCCTGTTGACAGAACTGGGAGTGCTCTACCCAGCTGGCATGCTGCTGAAGCAAAACAGGTTGAAGAAAGAAAATGTTTACCATGCATATTTAACATATTTCAAACTTACATGTAACTGGTAACTGAGTAAATCTTTGCTGATCCTAGCTGAACAGTCTTAGGATAATGAGTAACAGTGGGAAACAGGAAAACTTTTTTCTCCAAATCACAACATACATTCATTCCTATAGTAAAAACTGAGTAATAATATTACAGTGGTGTCGCTGATCTGTCCTCCATAGCATCAAGACACAAGTCTACAGACTTCCTCATCTCTGTCTGCCATTGCAGTCTGCAATGCCTCTTAAAACATTTCAGATTCAGTAGAGGAAAAAAAAAAACAACAACAAAGTTTTGACTGAACTTAGCAGAATCTTAGAAGAGCTGGACCAGTTGAAGCTACTGCCTATCATTTGAAAATGTTATCAAAGAGTAGACCTAGGCCCAGATGCAGGAGATGCTAAGATGCAGTCTTCTCCCTAGAAAACCTCAGATCTGCTGCTCAGTTGTCATACTGCCACGCTGGGTGCCTAATTTCAACAATTTTATTGTTTCATTATTATTTTACTGCAGCCAGTCCTAACAGGTTTGCTAACCCTGCAGAACCTGGCATCAGCTCCTGGTTGCTATCATTCATTCTGGCATTACTCGTGCATGTGATCTCACAACACTTAAGCTACACCAATCATACTTGTCCACCCTGAAATAAGTACAAAGGAGATTTGTAGAAGACATCAGCCAGGGAGTACATATAACCATCTGCCTTTAGCTTCGGCAGGGCTCAAGGTAAAACTCTAGGAAGTATGACAAAACATTTCAAATCCCCTTCTCCCTTGAAACAGAACTTTGAAATCAAAGAGCCTGAGGTCACAAACCAGTAATCGCCATCTCTAGGCTTACTTTGCAGTCACAGCTTTTAAGTGTCACCTTTCAAAGCTGTTCTACTTTGTCTAAGCATTTATTAGAAAAGAAGGTTAAATTTTCATCGTAGTTCAGTGACTCACTGTCTTGCATCTAAGGAATGTTATTAGTTTTCTTTAAATTCATATTTATTTTTTTAAAATGAAAAGAGGAATGAGTTTAAACGTCCTTTGTTACTCCTAGGATGAAAGAAAGAAGGAAAGAAGAAAGAAGGGAAGAAAGAAAGAAGGAAGGAGGGATGGAAGGATGCGAAGGGATGAAGAAAGAAGGATCTTTCCTTGCTGCTGCTTAACATTGCTGCATTTTGAATCATCTCTGTTGTCCTCCATTTCATCCTTTTGTCCTTTCCTAGCTCTCCATGTCCTCTTCTGACTGCCTTATACTTTCACCTCCTCATCTCATTGCAGATTTGTCTCCTGTGGTGATAATCTTCCACTGACAGATACTGTAAACCTTCCAAAACTTACGATTTCTCCTATAGAGGAAAATCTAGCAACAAGAAAAGAAATACCTTATACCCTTAAGATAGAAAAACAAAGAGTCTCTTCCTAGAACCAGAATACTCAAATTTTCTGGTATGAAAACCACAACATATATTTAGATATCGGGGGAAAAAAAGTGCAGGCAGCACTGCCAACAAATTTACTGGGAGAAGAACTGGATGTGAAAAGTTTAGAAAATGCCTAGGTAAAAGATTTCAAGGTATGCTTTCCTGTCACAAGAACCCCATACAGTATGCAACTGAATCAAACTGGCTCTTTGTTACAGTGTTCATGCGAAGTAGACTTTAGGTGGGTGCAAGGGACCAGGAGCACAGCAAATAAGACCAGCAAACAGAGCATGGCAGAGTGTGTCATGCATGCAAGTGTGCCCAGCTCAGAAATGCTTTTGGTGGCCAGGAGG